CCCCTCTCCCTCTACCCCTCTACCCCCCTCCCCTCTACCCCCCTCCTCTATCCCCCTTTTCTTCCCTCTCCCCCTCCTGGCAGGAAACAATGTATATCCACTCTTTGATCTCCCTGACCAGCTCGTTAAGAAAGGCTACCTACCGCCGCCTCTTGATCTGAGAAAGATTAAAGGGTACCTACCATCTCCACCGCCCTTCTTCACCCAGGTATATCCATCATCTTCCCACTCCCTTCCACCTGAGCGACGGACCAGATAGTTGGGTCAATCAATCAGCATGAAGTCTTCAGGTAGGAGGGAGGGTTGGCGTCCATAGTATCTCTACACCAAACGTTTACTGGGCTCCTACAGGTATTGTCTGCCTCTGGACCCACGTTTTGATTCTCGTCTTCTCTATGCCAGTACCTGCCTTCACCTGGGTGTATCAGATCAGGTAGTGCAAGCATCGTAGACTTCACCTTCACTGTCATCATGTTCTACATCTTTGGCGAGTGGTAGTAGTGGTAGCAGCAGAGGGAGGAGGAAAAGGGAATGTGTGTTGGGTTAATCGTCATCAGTAACACTTGACTACTTCATTACACCTCGTCTCCTTCATACCTCATCACTCACCATGTCCACCACCCCCCCTCCCCTCCCCTCTTTACATCTTCGTTTTGTTATTTGTAAGAGCGATTTGGTTTCACTTGGACATTTTGTTCTGTGTGTGTGTGTGTGTGTGTGTGTGTGTGTGTGTGTGTGTGTGTGTGTGTGTGTGTGTGTGTGTGTGTGTGTGTGTGTGTGTGTGTGTGTGTGTGTGTGTGTGTGTGTGTGTGTGTGAAGTTCACAGTGTTAAATAATGATCATAAATCAGCCCCCAACCTTCACTTAAACTAGGTAATGGTATAAATCAGCCCCCAACTTTCACTTTAACGAGGTAATGGTATAAATTAGCCCCCAGTTGGACTTTTTTTTTCTAGGTAGTGACAAACAGCCAAAGTGTACATCACCCAGCCCTGGATTTCCCGCGCCAGAAACTGCAAAACAAACACGTAATTTAAAGTGACTTGTTATAAAGGTTGTGACCGGGCGAGGCACAACCTTTAAAAATTTCGGGCAGATTTTCTCATCTTTTATTGTAGGTGTGTTATTGTAGGTGTGTTATTGTAGGTGTGTTGTTATTGTAGGTGTGTTATTGTTGGTGTGTTATTGTAGGTGTGTTGTTATTGTAGATATGTTGTTGTAGGTGTGTTGTTATTATTTTTATTTTTGTTGTTGCTATTATTATTGTTATTTACTATTATTATTACTTTATTTATGTTAATGGCTTATTATTGTTTTATTATTATTATTTGTTGTTAATTCATAAAAGATTAGGAAATATTTTACCGTAACAAATCTCTTAATTTTGGAGTTATTATACCGTCATTATAAGTCTTGGTAATTACTTCCATTACTTAATTAATTACGTCATGCCGCTACTCCTTAAACACTAGTGTACGGGATCCCCTCTGAGCTGAATGAAATGGTCTGACTTTAGTGAAGGTTAGGTTAGGTTAGGTTAGGTTAGGCAGGGCCTATAAGGACACGAGTCACCACCCCCCAGTTCATCGTCAATTATCATTCATACATCACCATAGTTTATCACAGTAAAAAAAAAAAATAATCCCTAAATGGACCTTAATTTCGCCGGGGGAGAAAAATCTTAATATCCTTTCCAGATTTTTATCCAATCGGTTTTCCTCCCAGTGAGATTTTTTCCTAGTTAACCTGGAGCTGTTAGTTTTACCGTGTTGATCATCCTGTGTTTAATATTTTTTATGAGCTGATAAGGGGGTAATATGGTGAGCTGAGAGAGAGTATTGTTGTGAGCTGAGAGCGAGTATTGTTGTGAGCTGAGAGCGAGTACTGTTGTGAGCTGAGAGCGAGTACTTTTGTGAGCGGACTGGGTGTACTTTGGTGAACTGAGAGGGTGTACTTTTGTGAGCTTAGAGATAATACTTTTGTGAGCTGAGTGACTACTTTTGTGAGCTGAGATTAAGTACTTTTGTGAGCTGAGATGGAGTACTTTTGTTAGCTGAGATTGAGTACTTTTGTGAGCTGAGATTGAGTACGCTTGTTAGCTGAGATTGAGTACTTTGGTGAACTGAGAGGGTGTACTTTGGTGAGCTGAGATGGTGTACTTTGGTGAGCTGAGAGGGGTGTACTTTAGTGAGCTGAGTAGGATTTTTTTTGTGCTGGGAGAAGTATTTTCATGATTTTAGATATACTTTTACAAGCAGAAGCACTTTTATAGGCCAAGGGACTCACTTTTATGAGCTTGGAGAGACACTTTTACGAACCGGCAGGAGGCACTTTTCGTCATACCTGGCGCTAATGATTGAGATTACGAGCAGAAATAATAGGACGATTAATTTTCGTAATTTCAGTGATGTAGGTCGTTATCCCCTGACACACACACACACACACACACACACACACACACACACACACACACGGGCGTCACTTTGTCCATAGGGGAATTGCACATACACACACTGAAAGAATAGTGTATTTGTTATTGTAAACAGTACCGAAAAATTTCACTTTAAATATGAAGTCTCTCTCTCTCTCTCTCTCTCTCTCTCTCTCTCTCTCTCTCTCTCTCTCTCTCTCTCTTTTTCTCTTCTCTTTTTCTCTTCTCTTTCTTCTCTCTCATCCTCCTTTTCTCCCGGGGAATATTATACAACCGAGGGATTTAGAATAAGAGGCGGCCGCTGCTAATGAGGTGGTAAAGTAGAAGATAAAGTTAACAGGGGCGAGGAGCCTCGGTGATCTTACTAAAACATTTACTTCTCCAGGCTGCTCCTTAACTTCAGGGTTGCCACTTTTGTTAATTTATTTGGTTAATGCCAGATGGTTTTATTCAGCACAGAGGGGAGCACATACACACGGGGTTAATAGACTATCTCCCCTAATAGACTATCTCCTCTCATACTTATCACCCCTAATGGACTTATCTCCCCTAATAGACTTATCTCCTCTATCAGACTATCTCCAGGAACACCTTCATTACGTGGACGCCACATTTTTATTTGGTTAAAGCTAGTCAGATTAATTCAGCACTGCGGGAAGCCCATACACAAGGGGTCTAACATGTCTTCGTTTACAAACTAACTTTCTAGAAACCCTCAATTTTAGTCTAATTCAGCATATATTTTCTTAACTCTATATTCGTTCCCAGCAGTGTCATCTGATATGAAACAATACAGAATCTTGTAATCATTTTTTATTGGTCTGATTCGACGAGTGTTTGTGTGTGTCTGGGCATTTTTTGTAAAGTGAACTAATCTGTAATTACTAATGATTGAGTTCTGAAATTTGGTATATGTGGCTTCCTAGGCTACAGCTATTGTTTCACTGAATTTTAGACCAAGAGATAACTTAATGTAGGAGTTATGCTCCGTGAAGTTTTGATAAATTACCTGTGGTTAGTGTGATGATATACATACTGATCTTCTCTAGAACTCTCGCTGGTAGGTGTCCGAAGTATTTTTATGCCGTATTAATTGCCTTTCAATAATTGTTGACTGATTTTACCATTTTTAATACTTTTGTCGGAGGATGCAGCATATAGCTTCGAGTTGGGAGGGTTTGTGGGCGTTGAGAAATGTCTTGAACTGTCTTGGTCAACGTGCTCAAGGTCAGGGTTCATAAGTGGCCTTTGGTTGTCTGTAGGTCAGGTCGTTGTCTGTAGGTCAGGTTATTTCATGTCAAGAGTGAAACAGAAAAAAAGAAGACTCGGATATAAGTAACGACCAACAAGTAGTCCCCTTGTTTTATGTCCTAGTGATCCTTGTTGAAATATCGCTTGGGATTTTATGAAAGCATTATATTTCGCACGAGACATTAACTTTAAACATTCATACATCATTGAGGAAAAACTTAGACTTGAGTTATTAATGTTTCGTTCAAGGTCAGTGAGTATTAATGTTGTAATCTTAATTTTGAGAGGATGTGACTCTTCAAGCACTTTAAAAGATGCACTTGACTGTGTGTGTGTGTGTGTGTGTGTGCGCGCGCGCGCTTGCTGTGACGTGACACACCAACCTCGGCAATAAACTCTTCCTGGATACTTTCTGAAATCACTAAAGGGAGGATCTTTGCCGTTATTCCTCGCATCAAGTTGTTTATGTCACAGCTCAACTTGGGTGTTTGTATTCCATATTTACCACCAATCAACTTGAAGCAGGTTAATGATACAGAAAATTTAATACTAACCTTTAGGTACACAAGGAGGTAGCGTGATCCGACACTGTACTCGAACACTTTTGTTTCCCCAACTGTATATTTAGGTGTCCATCAACAGCAAGTTGGACTAAGGGTGCCCTGAGGTCTCGAACATGACCTTAGGAAACAAGCCGCCGTACTCTTGACTCCTGTTATCCTTATAGGGAGGTCACTTAATTGTTGTATTTATTTGTGTTAATTCTCATCCTAAATTCAGGTAAGCGAGAGTAGATAACAAACACCTGTACTTCTCAAGGAACCTTATCAGCACGTTTATCCTTGAAAAAAATAATCTCCCACAAAGTTGCGCAAATTAATTACACCATTATCTGAATAAACCGGAAAGAAACAAAGGGAAGGATTTTAAAAGTCTGAAGAGGAAAAGACGCCATTTACGAGTCAGGTCGGTCCAGTAGTAGAGTGGGGAATGAGGCGGTAAGTCTGGCGTTACGGGTCTGGGGCAGCTAATGGTCATTACTGGGGTCTTGTGGGACCTCGCTTCCTTAGGTATAATTGGTGCAAGCTAACAGGTGCTTCCTCCCTCTCTCTAGAGTCAGGATGGCTGTGGGGCTGCTTCACTCTACGGGCTGGAGGGCTGGGAAAGTTTCAATCTAGGGGCTGGAGGGCTAAGGGGCTGCCTCACAATAGAGTCAGGAGGGCTAAGGGGCTGCCTCACAATAGAGTCAGGAGGGCTAAGGGGCTGCCTCACAGTAGAAGAAGAGCTGTTAAGCTGAGCGATGGACACTTGGATCGTAATGACCCAAGATGCAGGTGAGTGGATGGCATTGTGGAGAGAGAGAGAGCAAGTGGGAGGCTGTTGACGGGAGGCAGTTACGAGGATGACTGGTAAGTGAATGCTACTTGGAGGATGACTGTCGAGTGTTGAGTTATGGAGGGGGCAGAGACTGTCGACTGTGAGTTATGGAGGGGGAGACTGTCGAGTGTGAGTTATGGAGGGGGAGAGACTGTCGAGTGAGAGTTATGGAGAGGGAGAGACTGTCGAGTGTGAGTTATGGAGGGGGAGAGACTGTCGAGTGTGAGTTATGGAGGGGGGGGAGACAGTCGAATGGACCCAGAAAGGACAGACTGTAGGGGAGACTGTAAGGACACCCAGACAGTCACTGTTTACCCTCACGGAGAATCACACCGTAAATTTCACCATGTTTCAGTTTTGTGTAAATCTGCGTGAAATAATATTGTTCCTCCGAGGTTTATAGTTTTCAGTAGAGAATTTTGGCACAGCGAAGGTGACAAGGGACGTGTGTGTGTTTTGTGCGTGTGTGTTGCGTGTGTGTGTGTGTTGCGTGTGTGTGTGTGTGTGTGTGTGTGTGTATGTGTGTGTGTAATAATAATAATAATAATAATTAACGGTTTATTGAAAGAGCTTGGCAGCCAGAAGGCTGAAAATATACAGTTACATATTTGGGGAATGGGTTACGAATTACAACTAATATACAAGTAACATAAGTGACACAAATAAGACATATAATAACTTAGATGGGGATCAGCTCAAACTACAGTTCATTTCAACATAGTGACAGTGTAAGGAGCAGTGTTTACTGGGAGTGAATACACTGATTTATTACATGTTATTGATAATTTTTACAATGGTTGGGACTGGGCTGTTCTTATAGCGATCAGTTCGTGCACGTATGGGCTGGATGCGGTTGTGGTGTCGAACAGCAATTCTCCGGACAGGGGATCTCAGGTGGTAGTAGGAGCCGGCAGTGTCAGGGATAGTGTAGAAGCTTCTTACCAAATTTGCAGGCTGAGGCCGTGGTGTGTGTGTGTGTGTGTGTGTGTGTGTGTGTGTGTGTGTGTGTGTGTGTGTGTGTGTGTGTGTGTGTTGTGTGTGTGTGTGTGTGTGTGTGTGTGTGTGTGTGTGTTGTGTGTGTGTGTGTGTGTGTGTGTGTGTAATTGGGTTACCGTGAAGTGTTTGTGTGTGTTGTGAGGTTATGTCAAGCGATGGTGGTGTAGTTGTTGGAATGTGTTGGGTCAGGCTCACAGTGAACTAGTTTGGTCCTGAGAGAGACGCTCAACAATTACACGACAATTCCCTGAGGCAACCTATTCTTTTTTTTGGGGGGGGACAACAATAAACGTCATTAAGTTCATTAATTTTTCACTAGGTTAATCGTAATATGCATAACCAATTTTTTGTGTTATAAATATTAAATCTTGTTTGAAGCGCTTGGCATTCTGGAGTAGGCTGATGACGTCATGCTTGGCATTAGCTCTGGAAGATTGCTTAAGTTAAAGGCGCTTATATGAGTATTACCAGACAGCTCCCGAGGAAATGTTTTATGAAAGCCATATTTTCTCCCTGTCTATATCTTGTAGCCTCACGTACACCGATTGTTCTTCAAATGTTCCCCAGTGGCTGGTCTTGGTGGAACAAACACTTCATGTTCGTCATCACTCCAGAAAAAAAAAGTAGATTAAGTTTTTTCTTTATAATTTAATGTTTAAAATCTGGAGTAAAATCTGTATCCTCCTGAGTAATAAATATTCAAGATCATAATAACTTAAGCAGATTTTATTGGTATTTATTTATTTTTTATCGTTGACAGGTTTTCATAATTATAAATTAAATACTTTGGATATTTTCGAGGCTGTAATAAGGTGGTGTCACTGTAGCTCAGGTAGTGTTTGTTCACGTCAGGTAGTTCAATCCTATTACGAGAAGAGGATTACCTTATAAAAGTAATTACGAAAGGAAAACCCTCTCTGAGGTAGATAATTACGGCTGAAGAATTAATTAATACATGATCGTCTTGTTGGACCAGGGAGGGACCTGATCTTCTCTTACGGACCTGAAATCCTTACTCCTCTCTCACGTTCTTCTTGATGGTCTTCGTAAAACTTCTCTCCCAAGTTTAATTGTCTGTAGTCTGAAGTTTCTCGTAATATGTTTAGTATTAACAGGTTCCTCCCAATGTGTAATTAGTTAAGAGTTAAAAAAGCTCACAGTTAATCAACGGACGACAGACATCAATTTTCTCTCTGTAAACTTTATATAATTTTTTACGTAATTACTAAAGTGTTGTGTTGTCACGGAGCTTTGATTTAAAAATGGGAATTTTCTCTCCTTATAAGTTAGTTAATGAATGGAATACATTTGTCCACGCTGGATTAGTGTTTTTGACTTTGTAAATGTTACGAAAAAACTTAGGTTTCAATTGATGTGACTGAGGAGAATTTGTGTAAATTTTATGAAGATTGAATCAATGGTATATTTTCCTCCTTGTCTTGAACATTGAAGCAGAAGTCAACAATATTCTTTAAGCTTTGGAGTATTTTCAGCTGTGATGAATGTGAACTGCATTCAATCAGGATTTCTCAAGTGTTTTATGCTATCTTGTCTTATCCAGCACATTATTGTTACCATTGACGCATCGTTACCTTAAAATATCACATATTCTGGCGTATAATGTGAGGTAAGGTGAAACAATAACACACTCCCTCTGGCCGGGTAACACTAACGAAGCATTGTGTTTGTGTCAAGGGCAGGGCAGCATTACTAAGATGAGGTGGTGGTGGTGCTGGTGCTGGAGGTGTTGGTGGTGGTGGTGCAGCATTAGTAGGGGGTGTTCAGAGAGGGAGGGGTTGGTGGTGGTGCAGCATTAGTAGGGGGTGTTCAGAGAGGGGTTGGTGGTGGTTACGCGTGTGAGGTGTTGAGGAGGGGTTGGTGGTGGTGCAGCATTAGTAGGGGGTGTTGTTCAGAGAGGGGGAGGGGTTGGTGGTGCAGCATTAGTAGGGGTGTTCAGAGGGAGGGGGTTGGTGGTGGTGCAGCATTAGTAGGGGGTGTTCAGAGAGGGAGGGGTTGGTGGTGGTGCAGCATTAGTAGGGGGTGTTCAGAGAGGGAGGGGGTAGGAGGGGTTGGTGGAGGTTGTGTTTACGCTCTTTGTATTGTTGCTTGTATGCGGGTTGGGGGTGTGTATTACAGTGTGTTTTTTTTCAGGAATTGATGTATTATGTGTGGGACTCGTGTGGGCTCAGGAGGAAGGTTACATGACCTTGGTCTGGCCAGGTGTTGATTAATCTCCCAGTGTTCGGTGCGTGAGAGAGAGAGAAAACTGTGTCCGCTAGAAATGTTTGTCTCATTATTGTTATTATTATTATTTATTATTATTATTATTATTATTATTATTATTATTATTATTATTATTATTATTATTATTCGGCCAAAATTGTCCAGAGTGTAGAATGATGTTTGTTATTGTTGTGTTGTTATGGTTGTGTTGTTATTGTTGTGTTGTTATTGTTGTGTTGTTATGGTTGTGTTGTTATGGTTGTGTTGTTATTGTTGTGTTGTTATTGTTGTGTTGTATTGCTTCAGCCTGAGACTAACCTGTGTTACGGTAAGACAATTTTCCTTTGATCCAGAGTGAGGCTGATTATAAAGAGAATATTGTGTACTGTATGTGGTTTATTTATTCTCTGCCTGGGTGTATGATGGTCGACGCTCAGTGAAACAATTGATGCTATTACTTAACGTTACTGGACTGTGATGTGAATACTCTCTAGACACGATAGGTTATTTATTGTCTGTTTAGGTCATTAAGTAGGTTAATTTTCGTAATGTGAAATGCTGTAGTTGAGAGAGAGAGAGAGAGAGAGAGTTTATTAGCACAGAACAAGTACTGGAATATCGGGCGTAATAACAAAGAGCAATACAATAACAAAAAAACATGTAGTCTCTCGTAAGTTAACATGGTGGAAACTTAGATCATTACCACGTCTTGTTAATGATCCAACTTGGGTCATTAAGAAGTCTTCATGAAGATTCAAGTTAGATCAAAATGGTTGACGTCCTCATGGGTAACGAGTGAGTTGTATCGGCATTTACCACTTGGCCACGCTGGTACTGCACGTCGTGTCTGACTCAAGGGGCTACTTATCTCAGCTACCTGTCGAAGGAGTATGCTGACGGAATAACTTTTCGTCGGAGGAAAAAAATAAAAATAAAATCATCCTCCCCAGGAGTGTTAGTTTGTTAGTTTGTATTTTAAAGACAAGTTAGCGTATGGTTCAGGTTTTGTAAGGAATAGATAGGATTTTGAAATGTATTCGTTTGGTCCATTAGTGCTAAATTGGATACGCTTTTAGTTTAGGGCTTTATTGTAACATTTCTGTAGCATTTTGTGTTTGACCTTTTAATTAATTTTGTAATTTCTATATTCTATACCGGTACAGTACTAGATATATTTAATTAGCATGGGGGAATGTGTGAGAGGAGAGGGGAACACACACACACACACACACACACACACACACACACACACAGTATAAATCGTGAGGGATCAGAATTATGTTTCGTTCAGCTTTGTTCATAACGAAGACCCCAGTCCGTTATTGATCATGGTGGGGGGAGGGAGGGAGAAGGAATGGGGTAGGGAGGGAGGAAGAATGGGAGGGATGGAAGGAGGAGGACTGGGGAGAGGAAGGGAGGGATGGAGGGAAAGAAGAGGAATGAAGGGAGAGAGGGGGGGGAGGAGGAATGAGGTTAGGGAATGAGAGAATGTTTACCCAGGCACCAGTGTGAAGGATGAGGTATATAGTGTTCCATCATACGAACGTTGCTCCAATCGCTCATGGGTCTGACTAACTGCATATACACCGTACCGGGTTTGCTCCCACTCGGTGATGGATATTTACATCGGTCGGTCGGGTAACGTGATTGATCTGTGTTTTATTAAATTACGCGTTTTTTTAGCTTTGTTTATGTGGGTGGTTTGGTGGCTGTGCTGATAACTAGAGCGATAAATTAA